TTATTTTTTAAATATATTATATATTTGTTGATTATTTTCTTTGTTTTCTTTTTTTGTTGTAGATTGCATTACTCGACGGAAAAAGAAGTCTAAATGTCAATATCTTTCTTAAACAATTTCGAAGGTACGATAAAATAATGTTGAAAAAAATGTTGTAAAAATGTTGTTCGCGTATTTTGATTTATTGTTCGAAATGAATTTTTCTTAATTTGATTTTTTCGTTACATTCAAAGTTCGAACGAGGATATAATTCAACTAATCAAGGACGGCTGCCACGACGATATCGGCGCGGAGAAACTCCGTGGTCTTTTGAAAATACTTCCGGAAGTGGACGAGCTCGAGATGTTGAAGAGCTTTGACGGAGACAAGTCGAAGCTCGGTAACGCCGAGAAGTTCTTTCTGCATCTCGTTCAAGTGCCAAAGTAATAATGCTCATTGCGCCGAAGCGTATCGCGGAAATTAAAAAAAAAACAAATGTGTTTAGTAGATTTTATGAACAAATTGACAAAAGCTTGTTTTTTTTCTTCGAGTACAACTTGTATATGTTTCGTGTGTCTTATAAGGAATAGAAATTCAATTAATTTCTGTATATATTCATATACTAAATTAGAGATAAATTAATATATATATATATATATATATATTAATATTTGTTGATGTAAAATTAGTTACAAGTTGCGCATCGAGTGCATGCTGTTGAAGGAAGAATTTGCCGCGAACATGAGCTACTTGGAACCGAGTATCAATTCGATGATACTCGCCGGCGAGGATCTCATGACGAACAAACCTCTGCAAGAAGTGCTGTACATGGTCCTGGTCGCAGGAAACTTTCTCAATTCTGTATGTATTTGTTAAATAAATAAATCAATTAATAAACAAGTGATTTTTATCGATATATCTGAAGCCGAGAGATATTCATAGCACGGTTAGTAGCGCAAATGTTTTTTTGAAAAAAAAACCTTAAGGAAACGTTTGTGCTACTAATTACGTTAATTGGGTAGTCGGATCTTATATTTAAGACAATCTTAAATTTATCTTCAGATGATGAAACCAGTCGTTTCATTGGCTGCGGAGGATTTAAAGATAAACTTAAGACGATCTTGAGATCTATAAGATTTAAATATACTGAATACCTGTCTAAGTTGTCAAATTAATTGTTTCGTTTGGTTGTAGGGCGGTTATGCTGGTAATGCGGCGGGTGTAAAACTTTCCTCGTTACAAAAGCTGACGGAAATTCGCGCGAACAAGCCGGGAATGAATCTGATACATTACGTGGCATTGGTAAAACGCTAAATTAATAACTAAATTAATTATTAATTGTTAATTATTAACTGTTAATGTACGTTAATATATTATTAACTGTTAATTTACGAATAACTGGGTCACCGTCCCTATGTTTGTTGTTGTTTTTTTTTTAAGTTCCGCTTTTGTTTGGCGCAATTCGTGTTTTTGGGCGCGAAACTGATATTTCCTTGCGCTCTATATCATTTTTTTTTTTTTTTTTGGAGCAATCTTCTCTTCTCCGCTCAAGTTACTTATTACTTCTCGAACTTTTTATTTAAATTTTTATCTCAACATTTGTCGGCACGTTGCGTTGCAAGAACAAGGAAATCGTGGAGTCTCCAGGACGTAACAATATATGTACATACACGGAAAAACAAAATTTGCTAGAATAGCAAGAAATTAGTTACTATATGGTCAGCAAAAAACCATTTGTTAAGTTTATCAAAATTTTTGTTTTGCCAACAAAACATATTGTTGATGAAACAAAAAATTTCGTAGAGTCAACCATTTTTCTTGCTAACCATATAATAGCAAAACTTTTTTTTTCCGTGTATGTATATATATATATTAGGTCTACCGGAAAGTTTTGTCCGTTTTTGGAATAAAACAAAATACAGTTTTCTTAATTTTTCAAAAATAAGATATACAAATTGCCCTCACGCTGGCAAGAAATCATTAATAATAACGGCAATTATATTATTTAATCAAGTTTATTGACGGTAAGAAAAATTTCTATTTTGTTTTATTCCAAAAACGGACAGAACTTTCCGGTAGACCTAATATATATATTTTTTATACGAATATGTATACATATTATTTTAGCAAGCCGAGAGAAAACGAAAGGATTTGTTGAATTTTGCGAAGAACATGTCTGCCCTAGAAGCGGCAACGAAGTAAGCAGTATTATATATTATTGCAATAATGTTTAGAATAAAAATTTGTGGCTTTAAGATGAATTATTATTTTTCTTGCAAGAACAACAACCGAACAACTGACCAACGAGTTTAATAGTCTGGACACAAAGATCAAAAAGATCAAGAGTCAGATTCAGCTGTCCTCGACCGAAGATGATATACAGGATCAGATGGCGCAGTTTCTCCAGGTACACAATACACAATACACACGTAAACAAACGCAAAAATTTTTTTCAATATATCTCTGAGTAAAAATAATAAAACAAAGAAATGTGCAACAAAAAAAGACAAAATATAAATCTCTCGTGAGGGGAAAATTTGCAGATGGCCGAGCAAGAAATGGCGCAGTTGAAGCGTGACATGGAGGAATTGGAAGGAGTTAGACGATCGCTCGCGGAATTCTTTTGCGAGGACACGAACACGTTCAAGATCGAAGAGTGCTTCAAGATATTTCATCAGTTTTGTCAGAAGTTCAACCAGGCGGTCGCGGAGAACGAGAGACGGCGCATTCAGGAGGAACAAGTTCTGGCGCGTCGGAAGCAGCGCGAGGAACAGTTGCTGGCGAGAAAACGATTGCGTGAGTCAACACGTTGTCTGTTTGCAAATTTCCTCGCTTTGCGAATTGTGTGTTTGTGATTTTTTTTTTTTTTTTATGTGCGTTCTACGTGTTTTATCTCTATATATCTTCACGTTGTTTTCAGATTTATAGAGTAAGAGACCCAATTACTGTCACCTGAATAATAAACTCTGGCGTTAGTGAATTGTTTTTACCACTTATTTATCAAAAACATGTGTTTTTCTTCTTATCTGGTATTATTCGATGTCTCTGATATAAGGAACAAAATAATACCGTCTCTCAAAATTTCTATTTTTTTTATTTATAAATTTAATAATTAAAAGAGAACGATGCGAGAGCTATTACTGTCTTACCCCTAAAATGAAAGAAATTAGACACGAATGTTGAGTGCTGGATTTTTTGTTATATTAATTGCACTTAAAATTTTATGTTAGATTGTTTTCATGCATAACCTTTTAGGATTTATTTAATATTTTAAATAAAATAGCTTAGGGTGACAGTAATTGGACAGGTGACAGTAATTGAGTCTTTTACCCTATAATGCAAAATTTTTGGACTAGTTTTCTTAACGAGCAGATTTTTTTTTTTTTAAATTGATAGATCGTAAATTTCTTTTTCAAAAAAGAAAAGTAAAGCGTTTTCTCGATTTTTTACTATCAACTATTTCCGTTCCCAGGTAGCTTAATGTGGAAACTCAATATAAATCATTGTAATAGATTAAGTTGCTCGCTAATTGCTGTTGTGTTTTTGTTTTTATTTAATGTAACGAAAATGTTTTTGTCAATTCGGTATCAATATGCTGAGTTTTTATTATCAATCAATTGTTGTAGCGCCAATGTTTGCGACAAGTGATTAAGCAATGTGCGAGCAATATGTGAGCAATAATTTTTATTCACAAGTTGAGAAAAAAGTAATATAACTTTTTATTGCCGAGATGAGTTGTTGGGAACTTGCTGTTATTTATATTTTGAAAACTTGTTGCTCTGGCAAGAACATACCGAAAAGAGGATACACCCTTTTTTGTTACATTGCTGAAAACATATGAGCGATATTTGTAGGGCAAGTTGCCAACAACTTGCATTCGGTTGGCTATCTGGGGTTATTTCGCGCGCTCATGTTTACTGTTTTTAAATACGCACTCGGGTAAAAAATTTTTTATATATACTTATACACAAATTAAAATAATTATATCTAATTGTGCAAATTTATATGCCGAATATGTCTATGCAATTTTATACACGGAGAATTTTTTTTTTTAAGAGAATGGCTTCAGAGATATTCCATATCAAATTACAAAATAACTCTGTTAGTATCATGTTAGATACAAAAAATTATATAAAACTATATTTTTACTATATTTTTAAAAAAGTTTTGATATATCGTCACTCCCTACGTATAATCCCGTAACTCCAAAACGCAAATTTTAGAGGAGAGCAGTTTAAAAGTATAAAGCTTCATATGTTTCCCTATAGTTAGGGATCTTTCGGTTTCAAATTTGTACCTTATTTATGAATATTTTTTTTTAATA